ATATGATTGATACTTAATTAATATATTACGACATTTTACTATAATACTCGAATCAACAACTACTGATTCACTTTATATATTAGATGGGGAGGCTGAATCACGCTCTGCGTGTTCATTTGACTCTGTAATACAAACATTTTGATTTGAAATTCCATGTGTTCCATGTTTCTGGATTCCTTCACCCAGGATTTCTTTACATTAATCTCAACTTAACTCCTTACATGGATTTAAAATGGTCAAAAAAACACTTGGGTCAAATTTTTCTTTAGAATTAAAAATAAAGATCCTAATTTTATTTAACATTTTCATATATGCAACTAGTTTTCATAACCACCATAATAGTTCATGTCAATAAATTTAATATGTATAAGGAATTTTAAATACACTTTCCATTACTTTTCTCAAAACTATCTCTTTTCGTATATTTATAATATTCAATATTATCATGTAAATTTTTCTGTTCTTGCCATTTGCTTAGACGTTTCTGACACATAATATCAACACATTCCTACATTAGGACAATTTTCAAATAATAGTAATACTCGTTCAACCAGTTTATATCTAGAATATTTGTTTTTTAGTTTTTTCCTTTTATACTTCTTTATCCCTATTTGGTCTTGTGACTTGTTGGTAAAATTTAACAACCATTTGTTTCGTTAATTTCTATGTTTGTTTGGCAGGTCTATATGATTTACAATCTTTTTTGCAAAGTCTCTTATTGTCTTCAATAATGTGTTCTAAATTATAGTACCAATCAAAATTATAATTTATGACTATAAATTTGCCAAATACTTCAAATTTTTTATGAGTGAAAATATATGAAAAATATTCAAACTGTTAATTGGTTAGGAAATATAAATAGTACTAAATAAATTTATTCTTCCTGATAAAATAGAGTCCCTCACTGTCTCTTAAATCACAGAAAATATTGATATACTTGTCTATCTATACATTAAAATGATCAACATATCCTATCTATATTATTTAATGTTACCACCTTATTTTTATATATGCTAACTACATGAAATAATGATGTTCGTTTGTCTGGGCCTATTTATTAATGGCTTGTAATAATATACTTATATGTTATTCATGAGTGTAAATTTTTTATAAAAAGAAAAATACAAATTATAAGAAAAAACATTAACTAAAGCCAAACTACTCTATTGTTCTATTACTCCATATTAAGTGAAAATTTTTAATTATTCATGAATTTATTAAGGAAATTATTCTTCTGCAAATTATAAGTACAACAGAGTATCATATAACGCTGTCCATAATATACAATAAATAAAATCATTGTCATTTTTTCTCTGTACAATATGTAACTTATATATGTCTTTAATAAATATTTGTGTCTCTTAAAATATCGTCTATTAAAAAGGCTTCTTATAATAATAAGTATACTTTCAGTATATAATTTATATCTTCATTTTTTCTTCTAAAAAAGAGTAGCTTCTTTTTATTATCCTATTATCCTTTTTGAAGCGTTATTAATGTCAATTATTTAATTATACATTCTTCAAAACAGACGCGTTAAAATTTTAATGTCACTAAGACATGCAAATGCAACAAAAAATAATAAACATCATATAAGTTATTTTAATTTTGTTGCCTCTATAAATGGTAAAAAAATGGTTACACAGTGTTATAAATTCTATGGATACATTATTCAACATTGTGAATCTTATAGTAAATAGTAAAACCTCGGTACTCATACAATTTGTGAACTAGAAAAAAGTGTTTCGTTCCAGTACCCATTTTTTTAAATATGATAAATAAACGCTTAAATATTAATATATTTCTATATACATACAAAATAATTTTTTTCCATAAATAATTTGAAAAAAGATGGTATTTTATTTGATTAATAACTACAAAAAAATTAAAAAGATTTTTACAATAAAAAGGATTGTTCTTGGAAAATCACTATGATATAAAATCTTTTATATTTTTGCTTAAAAGGAACTTAATTTTATTGATGTATAAAACACATCTTGCATGTAATTTTTTTAATTAATTTATTTCTTTTTCAAATATCCATAGAAGCTCTAAATATATTTCATTAAAAAAAACCATAAACAATGCATTTATTACATTTTTTTTGTTAAACTGTAAATGTGATTAAGCATGTGCATTTTATTCTTTTAATAAAAAATAATATAAAATAATTATGTTAGAGAATTTTAAAAACATTTAGCATAATGTATATATAAATTGAGCATACAATTAATAGCTTTTTTTAAAAAATAATTGCTCTAATTATTATTACATTTATGAAATGATTGATCTTTTTTTGACCTTGCCCAAGTTAACATAAATAAAATTTGAAATGATATTTTATTATATTTTTCTATATTATATTTATAGTGGAAGTCACATTTATCATTACGTATAAAGCATAAAAATGTTTTTGCACTTATTTACACATTACGTTATTCAAATATCCTTAACATATGGATATTTTTGCATTCATTTATTCTTTCATATTAATCTTACCGCTTTTTTGTTTGATGACTTTTTATCATTCAACACTAATGAGCTTATAGTGCGAATAACCAAAATAATAATGAAAAAAAATTAATGAAATAATTATAATTAATCTGAAGTACTTAAATGAACATTTTGCAAAATATTGGCACTCCTTCAATGTAATGCACACATAACATATAAAAATGATTTCAAATCATCAAATTTTATATGAAAAAAAAGGTTTTTCTCAAAAGTATCCCGAAAACTAAATAATAACTGTTCATTTTTTTGGAAAAATACAAGACGATTAATAAAATTATTTTTTGTATTGTAAATTACAGGGCATTTTACTTAATTCGCAATAAACCATTAATTACATTAGGTAGAGTATGAAAAAAAATTGTACATAACATATAAGGCAATAAATGAACTTGCTTATAATTAAAATTCCTTATTTGAAATACTTATAAACGATGTTAAAAGTGATCTGTTTCTCATAAATTAAAACTATTTTAGAAGCAAGTATAATATCTAAAAGGACCATAAAACTTTAAAATTAATAGGTGCACGTGTAAAATACTCAAAACATAGAACAAATCTAAGAAGATACCTAAAAAATTGAAGTATTTGTTTGTGCCTTAGGGAAAAAAATACATTCGGTTAAATATAACTAACGCCAGTGATAACTATTAAAGGAATATATTCACATCGCTAAATATATAATGAATATATATGAAAATCTAAAATAGTGAATTATTAATAATATACTGTACTATATTTAATGGAAACTATCACTAAATAATGAAGTTATTATTATTACTCTACACAGTTAACACATGAAGAATAAAATAATATATTCCTTCTGATTTATTATATATATATATACGTTTTGTTATACAGTTTATAAAAACCCAAGGAAAAAGAATTAATCTTATTAACAGTATAATAAAAAAGAAAATAGTAAAGCCTTTACATTGTAATAATATCTAATATACCTAATGCCAATAACAAATATTCCAGGTTAGGATCTTTTCAAACTATAAAAAATATTCTTTAAGACAATAATATCATGATTTTATAATTTAACATTATTATTATTATTATTCATTAGCAGGAAAATCGCTGAAATAACCTTAAATTAAAAGGATTCTATACCACGACATTCAAATGACCATATAAAGGAACTATAATATACCCTTTTAATGAACTACCTAATTGAATTATACTTAATTTTAAATGTATATTTTTAAAAATATTTTGCTTAAATATTTCATATATAGGCTGCATCTATTATATATGAAGTAAATGTAAATAATTTATATATCCAACAAAAAAATTAATAAACTGATAGTTTAAAAAAATATAATAATATTTCCATTTAGAACAAGAACAATTAATAAACATTTATTTCTACTTATTGAATGCAAATGTTGCAACAATATTATTAGAATAACATAGGATAAAATTATTTTGTCTATTATCCTTATATATGACACATATTATATTAACGTAATATAGGAGATTATTGTGTAATATATGTTATATATTTTTTATTACTCAATATATAAAAAAATTATTCATACATATGTTAGTAATTTTCAAAAAATTGTATAGCGTATTTATAAATTTATTTATTAATTTTAATTATATTAATATTTTTTTTAATTCATCTGCATCATAGCATTTTAATTATATCCTAAATAAAATTAATGATTCTAAAAATATAAATATGTAAGTAATGAAGGTTAAACATATGTAATGGGTAAAATCTTTCTAGAAAATTAAATAAAGCATATACACACAAGAAAATTGTAGATCTATGAATTTTATAATACACCGCTTCTTATTCATTTTATCAATTATATGGGATTTTTAATTATTATAAATTTTTATAATAATAATATAAAACGTCTTATAATTTATGCATTATATATTACTTGTCTTTATATAAGGAATTATAGGATTCAAAATATATCAACATAATAATAATGGAACAATATGTAAGTATCAAATGTTTTATTTAAAAGTAAATTATAACAGCACTTTCTTTTAATAGTAACTTTGTTAATAAAAAACAAATTAAACTATAAACAACTAATGAATTCATATTAACACGTAGAAAATATTAAATATATAATGTGTCTTACTATTAAAATAAAAATATAAATACATGTAAAAAAAATTCTAGAACAAATCTTATTTAATTTCTGTGTGCCACATAAATGAAACCTTTTACATATAATGTATTAATTTTTTCTTGTGTTCAATGTGTATAAGCTTTAAACTCCTATGTATATTTTACTACCATTATAATGCCTATGATTCCAGATTGCTTATACCTCCTTATATACTATATGGATTTAATGTATAACAAATTATACATTCATTAAACATATATTTGCGAATACGATTGTTTTACCGTTATGCCTATAAATAATTATGTATCCAATATTATTACTTCAAATTATTCATGTATTATATTTTAAAGCATTCTAATGATATCTTATATAAATTATATTATATAATTTATGAATATAAATATTTGTACTTCCATAAAAATATTAATAAATTGTCGTGTAACAAAAATATTATATTCCCGTATGCAAATGCACATACTCTTATGTATGATTTATTTGCTTGTATTATTTGTTTAAACGAGCTATAAAGGAATAAAACTATAATAAAAATTAAATTTAGAATATGGGGCGTGCAGTTGTGGTTTTCATTAATGACGATCAATCGTCTACGTCTCAGGCTTGCCACGATAATTATGTAGACTATTTAGTAAAATTTAAACGAGAATATCGTATTTCTGAAAATAAGGACTGTATAAAGCTATGTGATGAATGCTATAAAATATATGAATATATAACAACATTAAAAAATCAGTGTCCTGAAAAAATTTCTGCCCTTGCTGGATCATATGCAGCGATAGATTTAACGAGTTACTGTAAAAGATGTGATGTTAATTATAAAAAAGTAATCAAAAACACATGTTGTAATGATGAAAAATATGAATTAATATCAGGTACAGATAAATTATGTAAAGTAAATGTTGTTAGTCTAACAAAAACAATATCTGAGCTAGAAAAACATAAAACTAACCCACAATTGGAGAGGCATTCCTATGAACTCAATGGTCTAGAAAATAATTATTCTCCAGAAGACAATGAAAAACATACTTCTGCCAAAGATTTAAGACAAGAACATGGAATTTCGGGAAATAAACAACAGGAAACATTGAATTCATCTAATATAGGTAAGCATAAAGACTAGACAAATCCATCAATAATTAATGAAAATTCTGCTACATCTATAAAAACACAAACTACATCAGAATCTTATCTGTCCCATGCCAATCGTCAAATCTAGTGTTTCCTATTAGTGAAAATACGCAAACTTTAGGAACAGTCTCTAGTCTGGCAAATAATTCAGATAACACACAAGAAGCGAGTACTCCAAGTGCAAGTATCCCTAAAAGTAATACACAACATAGTCAATATAATATTCTGGATAATTATATAAATTATGGCCATGTTCTTTCTAATAAGATAATTAATGCAGTACACTCTTTTTACAAGGCATTTGTTTTTGCACTACTTCCTATTATACCTTCTGATAAAAGTGATATCAATCATCTACAAACTAGTAATGTAGATAATGTGCTCTCAGGTATGAATAGTGCATCTTCTAATCGTGAAGTTAAAAATAACCTGTTTCCTCTTAAATATAGTTCCTAATTTTAAAATTTGATTGATATATCCACAGGTCAAGTTATTCTTGGTAGTGATGCTCATTCCGATAAGAATATTTCTGTAAGTGCTGCTGAAGAAGATACTCATAATGAAGGTAACTACGGCAATGGTGCTACTGAAAAAATTATTCAAAATGGTACTTCTCCTTGCATAACACATGATCGCGTATATATATATAATAACATTCACTCACTATTGTAATATATTATAATCAACATTCTAAAATATTTAATGAATTTTCAGGAACTCATGACAATCACGCACCTCTTGTTACACATACAGTATATATTGATAAATATATAAGTGTACCTATAACAACAGAGTCTACAGTTACCGCTGGAAATGGTATTGAACAAGCTGAATCCAATGAAAGTGACAACTGGATATCATATAGAACATATATCGCAATGACATTAGTGCCATTGTTAATTATTTTTTTACTGATAATACTTAAAAAGGTATATTAAAATGTGATATAATAAAGAATTATGCTTATATTTTTAATTATATATATCAATTAAATTTCCATTTTATAATATTTTTATTTCTTTTAGTACACCCTATTAGGAGTGCTTTTTAAAAAGAAAAAGAAAAAAAAAAGAAAGCAAATGAATGAAAAGTTGAAGAGGATACTTTTTGGACCTTCAATTGAAAGGGATAGAAGTATCAATTTTGCATATAGCTATTTTCAATATTAAAAACAGTTATCAATATTTGTTTTAAAAAAATTAATAAACCAGTTTTTTTTAAACATTAAGTATGTATTAACTAATAGTTTTGCACTTTTAATTTCTTTCTGTTCATTCTTAATGGATTAAATTATTGCACAACATTAAGACTATATAATTAAAAATCATAACTATAAAATCTTTATGTTGTAATTCTAATTATAGCATAGTAATAAGAATAAAAAATTAAAAAAATGTACATTTTATTAATTTGTTTTGTTCATTTACGCGAGTTATGAAATTGTTTTAGTATTTTTTAAACCAAAATATTACTTATAAGTAAATATATGTATATTTCGATGCAGTATGAATTTTGATTAAACTTTTGCCTTTTTTGAGTTTTATATTAAATATAAAACTATCATATAATGAAAAATTTTTAATGCATACTTGAAATGTATTTATTGCACTATATACCATAAAATAAATAAAAATGCTTTATGTTGTCAAGGAATGTTTGTTTATATTGCAAGATTAAGATATTTTAAATGACTACAATATTTGGAAAATATACAACATCAATGCATAACTGAATGAGAAGTGAATATGCATTAAGAATTCTGTCTCTATATAAACAGAGTATAGGAACTGTTTCTGAAAAGAAGAAATCATTATAAAATATTTAAAATTCATTTCTAGTTATTAAAAAACTAAATAAAATAAATACACAAATATAAGTAATAATTAAATATATTTTGTTGAGATAGATTTTAATTAAGGCACAATATAAAAAATCTTGAAAATAATGAAATAATTAAATAAATGTATTATAAAAAAATGAATTTTAATTATAACATATTTAATACATAGAATATGTTAAACGTAAAATATAATATAATTAGAATAGTTATTTATTAATATGTAATATTAATTATGTAAAATGTAATTCTAGTTAAAAGAACATAAAAGCAAAAAAAAAAAACATGTCAATTGTTACAAGATAATTTACTTTTGGATCATACACCATGAAATAAAAATATGAACTCAATATATTACAAAATTCATCCTATGGTACTATGATTCTCCTTTTTAAATAAAGATTTGTCCATTTATACAGAACTCTTAATTATTGTATAAGCAATATAATAATGGAAATCACTAGATTTAATACAATCATACATATAACATGCATACCGAGCCCCATCTGTGTTATTTTGGAGTGAACCACTAAATTATATGAATTATGATCAAAAACACTTAAATGTTTACATATTTTTATGTATTAATTTGTAAATCTTTTTTATGTAATGGAGATATTTTTAATTTTCATTAATATGAAAAAAAAACTTTGATTAATTTTTTCTGAAATAATATGTAATTTTTTTGATGCTTTTATGAAAGTCACAATATAACAAGTGACTAAAAAAAGTAAATGTAGAAACAGCACACGGATTATATTAAAAAATGGATCTTATATTTTATAAATAATGTAAAAATTTATTAATACCTATATCATAATATTCATGTTTTCAAATATAATTTCTAGTTTCTTAAAATCTTATAGTTATAAATATGTCATTTTTATATAAAGTACTTATTATACATTTCTTGAAGTTTTAAGAATAATATAAAAAATTTTCATTCCTCAATGTTTCATTTTAGAATGATTAAAAAATATATATTTTATATAATCATCATGAGTGCTTTATATATTCATTTAAAAATTTCAACCTCGGAGAATGCATTTTTTATATTACTAAATATTGCATTCTTTCCATAATTTAACTAAATTTCTCCCCTATAGTAAATATATTTATGTTGTTAATGTCATAAAACAATAAAATTATTTTTTTTACAGTATTATATATATGTTATTAATGTTAGAGAACGTTGCATATATTCTTTAAATAAAAGATTTTTAAATATTAATGAAGATAAAAAAAGATTCAAATATTCCTGACTATGTATATAGATATAATTATTGTACCACATGTATATTTTTAATTTATCCACTTTAATTTGACATGTCAAAAAAATGCGAACCTTTACTTTTTGTAATATATATAGACGTGTAACGGATATTAGTATGGCTAAAAATATATATATACAGAATTTTAAATAAAAATTTTCCGTTGATTTTGGCTTTCAGTACTTTTATAATAAAATATAACAAATAATATATCCATATAAAAATAGTTATTCTTGAATAAATAATAAATATGTCTGTAGTAAATATGACATGTAATTTTTTGAAAGCACATAATCTTATTCTTTACACATTTTGATTTTATGCTTCCAAAGAAAATTTAAGCATTACAATAAATTAAGTAATATAAGTTCATAATTTCAAAATTAGTTGGGATTTATTTTTTTAATAAGCTTAATTATGTAAGACAAATTAAATATTAAGTATGTTTTATATATATCTAATTTTGAAGTT